CTCAAGTTGCGGCTCATTTGACGAGATCCGGCCACACATTCGAATTCGATGAGGCCGAAATTCTCGCTAGAGTTGACAACCGCGTGAGCCGAGAGCTGCTTGAATCATAGTTCACGGCCCCCAGTCTGTCAACAGGTGCAACAAATTTCCCCTTCCATATTCAGTGCCGAGACTTCGCCTAGGCGGAGTAATTAGTTACGCGGGGAGCGCACAGGTGAACACTGTTCCCAACGCCAGTGTCGGTGGGTCAGATGGTCAAGCAATCATCACACAACCATCCAACACACGTGACGAAATCGCAGCAATTAACGACGCGAGTGTCGACCATCAAACAGTCAGCACACCAAGTGCAATGATCCCTGATGAGGAGGGGGGCGGGAGGAGGGAACCGTGAACATTCATAGGTATGCGATATCATGACGACTGCATCCTATAAATACTGCAGCCCCTTGTGCATCAACCACCCGTTTCTGCCTTTGTTTCTGATGATGAGTTTGAGCAGGAATCCGAGACGTCGGACGAATAAAGCTCCTGTCCCAGCATCGTGCCTCCATCTTCACGATTGCATCCTAGGAATAGTCTCTTCGCTTCTATTGGCAGACTACGCATTGGGTCCACTCGCTGGCACCAAACTCTCAACTGTGGCTCCCCGAAGCTAGGCTCTGCCTTGCGTCCACACACCCGTAAGTGCGGGCTAAACCAGTTGAGGGTATACGTGTGTGCATCTTCGCAAATGGAAACTCAACTCCGCTGGCCGTATGGACCACCGACTCGACATGTCCGAGACGAGACCTCGTCTGCAACAACGCAATAGACCATAAGGTAAGTTCCCCCCTCCCCCAGCTAAGCAAACATTGTTCTGCTTGACTAATATTGTTTGCTTGTTTGTGCTTGTTCTCGTTGCAAGCTAAAGGCCGCTCTGCTGAATCTCCTCTGTTGCCTTTTCTTCTTGTCGGTCTTGTTTGCTTGCTTTTTTGTCTGCTTGTTCGTGTCCGTCCTTATTTCATCAACAAGTTAGCCTAGAGCTCTGTTTCCCGTCTTCGTGCCCTTCCAAATCCACTTCCTATCCCACCTTGCATGCCCCACAGCGATGTCGTAGGCAGGCCCAGGCCGACTCGGGTCGTTCTTCCACTAAACAAAAGTCGTGGCCCATAGTGGAGTTCGGAAGCCGTATGGGATGACGGAGCAGCACTATTTAGGGGGAGCACTGCTCACCCCTCGAGGACGGAGGGGCTAGATAAGGCGTCCCAAACAAATTCTGGGAACCACGCCGTCTGCAGGCTGACCGTGGCCGCAGACGTAATGCACGCGGTCAAAACAACTAAAACAGAAACAATGACACTCTCTCCCTTCCTCTTCCTCCTTCCACTTCTTCTTATCCTCCTCCTTCCCGCCGCCCCAGTCGCCAGACTGGTAAGTTTAGGACGCTCACTCTGGCAGCTTGAAATGTTCGCTCCATTTCAGACAATCAGAGTAGCAATTGACCTGAACGGAGGATGACGCTAGTCGCTGGGACATCGCACACTACAGGTGGTCATCGCTGCACTCGGCCAGACCCAGTTCTCCGAACAAGGACCACTGGAGGAGGTGGGTGTCGGCCACACCTTCTTCTGGAGTGGTCGCCCCAGGGCAGAACGACGAGATGCGGGCGTCGTCTTTACCATCCAGAATGGCATCGTAGGACGACTGCCCTGTCTGCCGCAGTGCATCAAAGATTGCCTAATGAGCCTCCGCCGGCCTCTCCAGGGAGGCAAATTCGCCACCTTCGTCAGTGTCTACGTTCCGCCAATGGCCAGCCCTGATACTGCAAGGGACGAATTCTACGAGGATCTGCATGTCTTCCTGACGACTGTGCCGATGGCAGCTAAGGTGATTGTCCTTGGTGACTTCAACGTCCGCGTCTGCACAGACCATGCTGTCCGGAGAGGAGTGCTGGGTACCTATGGTCTCGGTGGCTCCGAAGAAAATGGCCTGCTCCTTCTATGAACATGCGCAGAACACTTCCCCATCCTGACGAACACCTTCTTCCGTCTTCGGATGCGCGAGAAGGCCACCTGGATGCATTCTCGATCGCGTTAGTGGCACCTTCCGGACTATGTCCTCGTCTGGAGGCGAACCAGAGATAGATGTGCTGGTGACAAAGGTGATTCGGGGTGCTGACGGGTGGACCGACTATCGCCTAGTTATCTCGAAGATGCGCATTCGCCTGTCTTCTCACAGGAGATCTTAAGGCAAACGACCATCTGGTCAGCTGGATTTTCGTTTTTTGTCTTTGCCTGCTAACCATATCCATTTTACCAATGAACTAGCTGAACGGCTAGCTAATCTTCAAGTCGCCCCCGTCGCCGCCGATGAGATATCCTCCGTGAGAACCGATGGTGTTAACTGCAAGACACGATCCGGTTGGCAGCCCTGACTGTACTCAATCGCGCACGTCGCCAACATCAGGTCTGGTTCGATGACAACGACGCCGCAATCAGCAACCTGCTCGCCGAGAAAGATCGTCTGCATATAGGCTACGTCAACCGACGACAACAAAGCAGCCTCCTGTCGTAGTCGCCGCCTTGTTCAATGGGGGCTGCGCGAAATGTATGACGCCTTGACGGCTGGCAAGGTCGAGGAGGTCCAAGGGTACGCGGACCGCAACAAATGGGAGAATTTCTTATCCGCGATAAAGACTGTCTACGGTCTGCCAACCAAGGCAACTGCTCCTCTTTTCAGAGCTGACGGAATTACCCTACTCACTGAGGAGATGCAAATTCTAAAGCGATGGGCTGAACACTTCAGAGGCGTCCTCAACTGTTCCTCCGTCATCTCCGACACCGCCATCGTCCGTCTGCCTCAAGTTGAAACCAGCATCAACCTCGACCTACCGTCCTTTCTCCATGAAACCATCAGGGCCGTGCAGCAGCTCTGCAGTGGGAAAGCGTCCGGATCGGACACGATCTTTGCCGAGAGGTACAAGCACAGTGGCCCACGACCCATGGATCATCTGACGGCGCTTCTCAGGAGATGTGGTGTCAAGGAGAAGTCCCGCAAGATTTCAAAGACGCCACAATCGTGCATCTGTATAAGCGAAAAGATAATCGCCAGCTCTGGCACAACCATCGAGGCATCTCCTTGCTGAACATCGCGGGGAAAGTCTTTGCTTGCATCCTCCTCAACCGCCTGAACAACCGCCTAGAACAAGGTCTCCTAACGGAAAGCCAGTGCGTCTTCCGCCGTCATCGTTAGTAGATGCGGATCCACCTGTATTCTACCTTCGTGGATCTGACGAAAGCCTTCGATTCGGTGAATCGTGAAGGACCGTGGAGAATCATGCAGAAATTCGACTGTCCAGAGGGATTGACTCAGATGGTGCGCCAGCTGCACGGTGGTATGATAGCGCACGACACGGATGATGGAGCTGTCTCAGAGGCATTCGCAGTGACCAATGGCGAGAAGCAGGGCCGCGTCCTCGCGCCTACCCTCTTCATTCTCGTGTTCTCCACCATGCTGACGAAAGTCACGGTGCCCGCGTCGCATAGAGGATGGACGACCACCTCCTCAACCACAGGCGGATGCACGTCCCGTCGCGTGTACTTACAACCACCGTCCACGAACTTCTCTTCGCGGACAACTGCAGCCTCAACATCACCTCGGAAGAGGAAATGCAAAGGAACGTGGAGCTCTTCGTCACTGCCTGCAAGAACTTCGGTCCGATAACCAACACGGAGAAGACGGTAATCCTGCACCAACCGCCACCCAACACAGCCACTCCCACAAAGCGTCGCAGATCGGCGTGAACGGAATCCAACAGCAAATGGTGGACAACTTCACGTATCTGGGCAGCACCGAAATCGACGACGAGGTGGCCAGCAGAATTTCCGAAGCCAGTAAAGCCTGCGGTCGTCTTCAGAACACAGTTTGCAATCGTTACGGTCTTCAACTCAGCACGAAACTGAAGATGTTCAAGTCCGTCATCCCACCGACATTGCTGAATGGAACAGAAATCTGGACGCTGTACATGAAGCAGGCACTTAGACTCAACCACTTACTACTCAGTTGTCTTCGTGAAATACTGAAGCTGATGTGGCAGGACGGATCTCAGACACGGACGTACTGCGGTGGACGGGAATCCTCAGCGTCCACGCTATGCTGAGGCAACTATAATTACGCTGGAGCGGCCACCGCGTACTGATGGACGAAGAGAGGCTACCCGAACGACTCTTCTATGGAGATGTCGCGATGGATTCTCAACGACAAGGAAGTCAAGTCCTGTCGCTTCAAGGATACTCTGAAAACCTCCCTGAAGCACCCGCAAATCAACCCGGAAAACCGGGAATACCTCGCCCGAAACTGACCTAAATGAGGGAGAACAGTGAAGACGGGCGCAGTAATCTTCGAAGCCGACCGCATTACCGTCGCGAAAGCCAAACGCGAGACACGCAAATCTCATCTGCCGCCGCCGCCGCCGCCGCCGCCGCCTCGAAACGCCAACGCACAACCAACTCCAACGTGTCAACGGACATTCCGGGCGCCAAGTGGACTTGTTGGACCCCCCCCCCCGGACCAACTTCGGCACCCCGACTGCACAAAATGTCGTCTCTCCGTCCACCTCTCATTCGCCTCCCACGCCGTCAGCAAACGTCGGCCGCCCTTCCCAACCATCATTTCTATCCACCTGCTCCTCCTCCTCCTCCTCCTCCTCCTCCTCCACCGCCTCAACTTCCGCCGCTATGAAGTCTGTCATGCCCATCAGCACTACACACAATCCTGAAACACCAACAAACACCAACGCCGGCGATGGGGCGACACCAGAGGTGAGGACCAGGACTACACATGTCCTCATGGCGACCGCACCTTCACCTCACACAATAGCCTGGTCGGCCACTTTCCAATCCATCGCACAGGGACCGGCCAACCAGTGCCTGAAGCACCAACCTACAGCCACCGCACTCGCCTCCACTGCCCACACTGTCCACGCACATTCATGCACCACATGGGCCTATTCGGCCACATGCGTATCCACGAGAGCGGAACTGGCCGCAGTCTCGACACCTCCAGCAAGCCCACCTGGCCTAGCCTCGCTCACACTTCGCCGCCCAGCACGCCCACTGCCACCAACCCTATCTCACTCAGTACATCCTGCACACCCATTATGCTCAGCCAAACCCACCACTACTACCGCCACCACCTCCACCACCGCCATCATCATCATCATCATCATCATCATCATCATCATCATCATCATCATCATCATCATCATCATCATCATCATCATCATCATCATCATCATCATCATCATCATCATCATCATCATCATCATCATCATCATCATCGTCGTCGTCGTCGTCGTCGTCGTCATCATCATCATCATCATTATCATCATCATCGTCGTCGTCATCATCATCATCGTCGTCGTCGTCGTCGTCGTCATCATCATCATCGGAACTGATACTGACACCACCGACTTCCCATTTCTACACTGCTCTCGTACAGTCAGTTCACGCGTCGGCCTGTCGGTCACTCACGAATCCATTGCACAGAGGCTGACGAACCAGTTCCTGGAGCACCAGCCTACAGTCGCAGCATCCGCATCCACTGTCCACACTGCTCTCAAAAATTCGTGCCCAGCATGGGCCTATAGGCCACATGCGCGTCCACGAAAACCTGCAGTAGACAACCGCCGGCTGCACAACACCATCATATCCTCCCTCACTAACATCTCACCGCATATCAACGTCACCCACCGCAAGCACCCAGCTGCCACCCACGTGCACCTCGGCCCCTTCAACACACGGCTCCCTTGCTGCATGTGTGATCGAAATCTGAGGTGAAGACGGTGCGTCGAGCGTTGGGACTCGGAAGTCAGCCGACTGACATCCCAACTCAGTCCCCGCAGTCTGCCCAGTTGTGTGTGTGTGTGTGTGTCCCTCAAACGAGCCACGTGGTAGAGGCGCTGGACCAACACGGTGGCCACATCGGACTCTGGCAGGCGTTATCTGTGAGCAGTAACAATTGCCAGCACTTAAGGGGTGCGCTGGCAGACCCTGCTGTCGGCAGTCGTCGCACGACTGGACCTTTGCCATCACCCCATTAATTTGGCGGTCAAAGTCCTGGTTGTTTGTTGAGTGGACCAGAGGGTGCGGAGTGGAGCGCCAAGACGAGGATCCGTCCAAGCCATCCACCTGCGGCCTCCCTCGTCTCCGGTCTTCTTGACTCTGTCTTGACGCCGGACTCGGGCGGGGAGGTGGAGAGAGTGTGGTAAATGCAGCACAAGTCTACTGGCACTATGAACCCCTGCGCAAGTCACCATCTGTGCTCCCACCATCTGCTGTGGGGCATGCGGTGAGCATCGTCGGATGCGACGATCGAACTATCGTGTGTTCGTGTGGAGGCCAATTTACCACTTTGACCACAGTAAACCGCATTATAGATGTTGCATGGTAACTTATAGACGACTTCCTTCTTATCTAAATAGCCAACGCTATCCTTTAGGTGTACAAGCTAGTTACGAGGTGTAGTCATTGGCTTGTGCGCAACATGTATTTGGTGTTTCCTCAGGTGTTTGACGGGACATTTCACACTTCGGTTTACCGCAAGGGAACCTACGCTGAAATTTTTTTTATTACGAGAGCGATCACCTGAGCTCTCACAAACTGGGTGCCATGAAAGGCCTCCTGAACCGAGCGAGAACTCGCCGCTCTGACAACAAAACCTATCAAACGAAACTGAATTATTTGTTCAATCTCTTTTCCCCGAATGGATATCCTAGATATTCTGTACACCGATGCATGGGACGACAAAAGTTAAAAGAAAAAGACAAAGAACTAGATTGTTCTGATCAGGCGCCCAAACCAAAAAACTGGCGAACACTTCCGTACATTAAGGATGCGTCCGAAATAGTTGAAAGCCACCTGAGGCAGCACCAAATACATGTGGCGCACAAGCCAATGACTACACCTCGTAACTAGCTTGTACACCCAAAGGATAGCGTTGGCTATTTAGATAAGAAGGAAGTTGTCTATAAGATACCATGCAACACCTATAATGCGGTTTACTGTGGTCAAAGTGGGAAATTGGCCTCTACACGAACACACGAACATCAACTGGACGTAAAAAGGCGAGATCACTTGTCTCAATTTGCCATACATACGCTGGAAACTGGACACAAATTTGCCTATGTCAAAACTCGCATTGTAGGTGTCTGCTCATATAAAAAAGCCTGCGAATTTTTAGAGGCCGTCAATTCTGATAACTCATGCATCAATCGACACGTGTAATTGGATGGTGTGTACAACAACATCAAGGAAAAATGGAAAAGGCATTGGTCAATCAGAACATTACGCCAGCAGAAGTGGCAGGACAAAATTGATTCTTAGGAACGTTTAAATATGAACTGTTTTGCACAATTACTACACCTCTGAGGACGATTTGGGGAATCGGGGTCGAATATTTACAATAAAGTTTTTATCTTTCCCACAGAGCTTATATTTTCCGAATTATGATTCTTGTGATGCTTGTTTTCAAATTCATATATATATATATATATTTCTAATAGAACCGAAGACTCGAGTCCCCGGATATAAGAGAGAATAAGAGGCCAGTCCGGGAACCATGGTCGTATTGTCCTGGTGCTTAAAAACAAACGAGCTTCCATCGTCTGAGGCGAGTGTGGTAGCGCGCCTCACAGTATTTCTAGGTGGGTGACGGTCCTGTTAAGACGGGTTTACGTATGCAGTCAGGGAGGCCGGGAGGAAGGGGTAGGGAAGGGAGGGATGAGGGGGGTGGTGTACTAACATTAGTGATTATCATACGCATGCACACTGGGGCTGTGGCGGGCGGGGGAGGGACCGGGGACGGAATGTACTCAATCTACATCGGGGGCCGACGCTGAGACGATGGGGGCCGTCGTTTGTAACTTCATTAACCTTAGCTGTCGCCCAGGCCTGGCAATGTGATGGTGAACCGACGAGGAAGCAGGACAAAACACTCGCCGACATGCAGACAAAGAAATTAATAAGTAAATCGGCACGACTGGCCATTAAATCAAAATACGCAGCCGCACCAAGGTTTTACGGAATACCAAAACTACACAAAGCTGGGGTACCTCCCCAGCCAATCGTGTCATTGTGCGGCGCATCAACGTTTAATTGGGCTAAGTGATTGTCCCGGAACCTGGGGTCTCTCACCTCGAACGCGGCCGCGACGGTCTCTTCGGCGACTCTGTTCCTGACCGATGACAAGGTCATGGTGTCATACGAAATCATTTCTCTCTTCACTTCGATTCCGCGAGTAGAAACGGTGAGCAAGCTGCCCGAGACGACGAGACGGGCGTGACCTAAAATGGGGATATTTCGTCCAACTGTTAAAATTCTGTCTGAAGACGTGCTTCACCTTCGAAAGTAGAACATACGAGCAGGTCAAGGGGACGCCAATGGGATCGCAGCTCTCGGGCTTCATCGCAGAGGCGGTTCTGCAAAAAGTAGAGACCCTAGTTTTGCAACTCATAAGCCGAACTTGTTGACTCGATGTGTCGATGATACCTTCGTTATCATTAAGCGGGAAATGGTCCAAGAATTCAGTGATGTCCTAAACTCTGCTTTCCCTGACACCCAGTCCTCAATGGAGACGCAAGTCACCAACTAAGTGCCGTTCCTTGACGTTTTCGTTCATCGAAAACCCAACGGGCATCTAAAAACGACGGCCCCCATCGTCTTAGCGTCGGCCCCCGACGTAGATTGAGTACATTCCGTCCCCCTCCCTCCCCCGTCCGCAACAGTCCAAGCATGCATGCGAATGATCACTAATGTAAGTACACCACCCCCTCATCCCTCCCTTCGCTACTCCATCCTCCCGACCGCCCTGACTGCATACGCAAACCCGTCTTAAGAGGACCGTCACCCACCTAGAAGTACTGTGAGGCGCAAAACCACACTCGCCTCAGACGATGGAAGCTCGTTTATTTTTGAGACGTCAGGACAATACAACTGGTTTCTAACAACCGTATTATACAGTAAGCCAAGAATAGGTACTAACTAAAAGCCCATGCCTTTAGAAAGCACATTCTCTTCCGATTATGTCAGAATTCTCGAGGACAGGTTTACGACCTTCGCTGGGCACTTCTGGTTTGCATCAGTTTTTTTGAGAAATGGTCGTCCACTTTTTGTCTAAAATACTCCTTTTCTTTTGTCGTTCGAGTTGTGAGGCACAGATGATGGTTTCGATCAGAGATTCAAACCAATCAAATGGAAGCTGGTTTCGGCAAAACTGCATGTGTTGCTCCTTAGAATCTTGGAATTTTCGGAGTCGACAACGGGCATCAGTTATGTACGCATCAAGCATGCTTTTACATTATAGCCTGCTTTGTCCAAAATCGCAGCGGAGCCATCTCCGAAACACGACTGTAAGCACGAACTCTTAGACCTATGTAGGGAGACTAATTTTTCGTTCGACCAGTAGTACTGACAACACCTGGAAGGAGTCCCAATGGGGTCACTTATCTCAGGCTTCCTCGCCAAGATCACAATTCAGAAACTGCAGGCCATGGCTCTTCCGTTAGTTAACCGTTAATTGTGGCTGCGATACGTGGACGACACATTTATAATCTTTAGAGTAAGGTGGTACCATACTAATAGCATAGGTACTATCTAAAAGCCCATTGCTATTAGTATGGTATCACCTTGCCCCAGAGCATACTGCTAGCTGCCTGTCGGCAGTAATGTATATTACGCAGTTACCCGCTGTGGCTGATGGTCTTTGGCCCCAATACTCATTTATGAAATTCTCGGTCTGAGCCTATAGACCTTGAATAAATTGATCTACTCCAAATTCCTTAGATAGTTTCTGAGGAAATTAAAAAACGACATTTGTAATCGTTAAAAAGGATCAACTGGAATCGCTCCAAAACACTATCAACCCAACAATGCCGGGGATTAAATTCACACTCGAGAATGGAGTTGACAAAAAAACTCCCATTTTTGGATGTACTCGTGTAGCGGAAGACCGACGAAGCATTGCCCACATCGGTTTGCCGCAAAGAAACCTATGCGGAAGTCATTCTACACCACAAGAGCAACTACCCCATTTCCCACAAACGGAGTACGGTCCACAGTCTGCTTAATCGGGCAAAAACACACTGCTCGGAGGAAGAAGGCTACCGAGACCAGTTAAGTTACTCGTGTGAATCATTTTCCCGAAATGGGTACTCCAATGATTTTGTGCGCCGATGCACGAGACAAAAAGAGTCAAAAGAAAGGGAGCAACGAACTTCCAGTGAGGCACCCAAGCCAAATACATGGCGAACTCTCCCTTGCATCAAAAACGTGTCTGAACTCATGGAAAGGCACCTAAAGAGGGACCAAATTCTGGTGTCACACAGACCAACGACAACACTACGTACTCAGGAAGTACGCCCTAAGGATAGGTTCGGCTATTTGGATAGAAAGGAAGTCGTCCACAAGATCCCATGGGAGGCCCTGTAATGCAGTTTATTGTGGACAAACAGAAAAATCCGCCTCTACGAGCATTCACGAACACCAACTTTCAGTAAAGAGGCGAGGCCCCCTGTCTCAAATAACCATGCATACCCTGGCCACGGGGCATACGTTTGCTTGGGACGGAACACATATTGTCGGTGCCTGCCGCTTGAAGAAAGGCCGAGAGTTCCTTGAGGCCATGCACTCGGATGAGTCGTGCATCAACGGTCATATCGAGGTGGACGCCGCGTACAAAAGTCTCAAGGCGAAATTACAGAGACGAGAGCCAATAAGGACAGAATGACGCAAATAGCGGCCGCTAACGGGTGCAAACGCCAACGATTATCGATTTTTCAAGTGCGTTGCCAGATTTTAACTGTTGTCGGTACATTTGCTCTCAGTCTGTGTCTGACGCCGACCTGGGGAACCGGTGTCGAAAATTTACTCAATAGACTTCCTTCTTCCCAAGGAACGCCTTTGACTTCAACTCGTAGTACTACTTGTTTGTAGAATGGGCATTACGTGGTTATTCCACAGTAGTTGATTGTCTTCGACTCAAATGTTCATTGAAATTTCGGTTCTGGCCCTAAAAAGTCATGTCCCGGAGATTTAACTCCAAGTCCTGCACTGATTAATTTCTGAAATTATTCACCTGAATATATATATATATATATATATATATATGGATGTAGGCGAAAATGCTGACCCCAGGTGTTGAAATTGAAGAAGATGGTAAGGCGAGCTCTGGGGATGATGATTTATTCATCTGACGTTTCACACTCATACTCGAGCGCATCATCGGAGATAGGAAATATTAGAAAATTACACGGTTTAAATAGGTCCCTCTCGCTCTCGCCTGATAGGGCCGTCAACTTCTATCCTCATTGGGCCTCCCCTGGTGCGTAGGTGGTGTTTGGCGGCCTCGTATGGTGCCGGTAGTTCGACGCAGCGGTTGATGGAGTTGGTGTCTGTTTTCCAGGCCTCGATTATTTCTCGCGCCAGTCTGTTTTCCGCTCGGCCGAGCACTTGGGCGCCGTCAAAGTCAAACCGGTGGTCATTTTCCAGACTGTGCATGGCGACGTGTGAGCGCGCATCTTTCCGCTTGACGGCTAAGGTGTGCTCATGTATGCGCGTTTTAAGTCGTTTGTTTGTCATGCCGCAATAGTTGGCCTGACAGTCTAGGCAGTTGACGCAGTCAGATGAATAAATCATCATCCCCAGAGCTCGCCTTACCATCTTCTTCAATATATATATATATATATATATATATATATATATCAATCAGGAATGGGCGCACACCGATCTATTGGCTTCACAAAGCAAACAAGCTCTGTATGTGTGGCAAAGGTCACGAAGAGGCAACCAATTACCAGGCCGAAGTCGGCCAAGTCATAATAGCAGCGAGACGACAGAGAATGCGGGTAGATTGATACAGCACTGTTTCGGGCTTATTCTGCCTTCATTCAGCCAATCATAACCCTGACCACCAGCAGCTGCGACCAGAAACACAAACATGCGCACAGACGCACCTGGCGCAGTCGGTCCGCCACTGAGGCCTACCAGATGGGTCATAAGCACTTCATCGAACCGAAGTTCATCAGTGCCTCGCCACCTGTCATTCTCTGTCGCTGCAGATCGGGTATTTATCAATCAGGAATGGGCGCACACCGATCTATTGGTTTCACAAAGCAAGCAAGCTCCGTATGTGTGGCAAAGGTCACGAACAGGCAACCAATTACCAGGTTGAAGTCGGCCAAGTCATAATAGCAGCGAGGAGGGACGACAGAGAATGCGGGTAGATTGATACAGCATATATATATATATGCATGTATTATACCGTACTCCCGACATAGATACTTGTTAAAAGCCCAGATATCACGCGAATAATTTCAGAAATTACTCAGTGCAGGACTTGGAGTTAAATCTCCGGGACATGACTTTTTAGGGTCAGAACCGAAATTTCAATGAACATTTGAGTCGAAGACAATCAACTACTATGGAATAACCACATAATGCCCATTCTACAAACAAGTAGTACTACGAGTAGCATGAAATCCATATATATATATATATATATATATGGTGGTAGGGGGCGCTCACCGATCGTTCATACGGAACTCACTCGTTCCGTTGTGCCTTAAGGGCCCTCTCTCGAGCCCAACCAGCAGCCGCACAGCGGCGCATGATACATAGGCAGAATGGCATTACCGACAAAGACAAGGGAGACTGGAATGGCCATTTCTGGCGGTGGATAGAGGCGTGGACTTCTAAACCAACAGGTCGCGAGTTCGAGGCTCGGGTGTTCCACACTTTGGGCTTGGGTATGGCTGGCTGACGACGGCTAATAAGCCAGAAATTGCCATTCCGGTCTCCCTTGTCTTTGTCGGTAATATCATTCTGCCTATATATCATGCGCCGCTGTGCGGCTGCTGGTTGGGCTCGAGAGAGAGCCCGTAAGGCACAACGGAACGAGTGAGTTCCGTATGAACGATCGGTGAGCGCACCCTAACACTGTATATTCCCGATCGAAAACCGACAAGGCAACGGGCTCGTGGCCCGATGAGTAGAGGCGTTGACTTCTAAACCAACAGGTCGCGAGTTCGAGGCTCGGGTGTTCCACACTTCGGGCTTGGGTATGGCTGGCTGACGACGGCTTATAAGCCAGAAATGGCCATTCCAGTCTCCCTTGTCTTTGTCGGCAATACCATTCTGCCTATATATATATATATATATATATATATATATATATATATATTCATGGTTCTGATCGCCTCGCCCACTTATCTGTGTTCGGTTATTACGCGCATTCTCGCTTCAACTAGCAATGTATATATGTTAGAAATAGGCGAGGTTCCGTGCAAACAAAACAATCTCTATAGTCAAAATTTTCGAGACTTTCTCCTGATGATGGGTTCGAGCAGGAATCCGAAACGTCAGGCTAATAGAGCTCGTGCCCCAAAGATCGTGTCTCTTTCTTCAAAACGAATCTGAGTTTGGCCGGCCCCATAAGTCTGACGAAGAGTTGCGCAACCAGTCTCAGAAATTTTTGCAACAAGTTTTATTTGGTTCTCAAAGAGCTGGTCTATTTCTACTCAAATTTCTTTAGATGCAGACTTTTCAATACAGGTGTACGGTCTGCGTTATGGGCTGGATAAAATTCACTTAAGGGAATTAGTTATTAGTCGCTATGTAACATTTACGGCCTGAATTCGTAACACGATATACAGAAGACTGATTAAAACTATCTTCTTCCACAGTAAACTGCCTCCTGCCTATAGAGGTAATGCCCTTTTAAGGGTCATATTAGCCTGGATTTACTGTTGGGGAATGCAAATAAACTTAGACACAAAGCACATAACCACCACAGCAGTGTTTGTGCAGGGTTGTCTGGCCAGGAGGATCAGCACACAAGGAGCCTGGTGGACGGCAGTGCATGTCAGGTGGCGAGGCGCATTCGTCAAAGCCACCACTGTCCCCACCCACCTGCCCCCTCGCCTCGGCGTCGACTCCGCCCTGGCGGCTGACCTCACACGACCTACAGACCGCAGCATCAGGAGCGCGCAAAATGTGTTTACGGAGCGACCGCGATGCCGTGCGGCTACTGCTGCGATTAGCGCTGGCGATGGCCTAAAGCCCGTCCCCCCCCCCCTCCCCGAATGTGTGGTGGACCCGCGCAAGTAGAGTCAACGATCAGCTGCTAATGCAGGATTTAACAGCCGGCTGCAGGCGCATCAAGAACCGCGCCTGACCTGCTGACATTGACCCAATGTGATGGAACCCACCAACGTTAACCATTTGTTACGTCCTCTCCCTCTCTCTGCCCACCATAGAAATCAAAACGGTTCCGCCTCCCTGGACAGCCCTGAGTACCGGTAGGGAGACAACTGTCACGTATCGTGGTTGAAGGGAGCACTCTTGCGTCATCCGTGTGTGTGTGTGTGTGTGTGTGTGTGTGTGTGTGTGTGTGTGTGTGTGTGTGTGTGTGTGTGTGTGTGTGTGTGTGCTTGATCCACTGTGTCCTTGGCGACTTCAACGCCCGCGTCGGCACAGACCATACTGCCTGGAGAGGAGTGCTGGGCCCCCACGGTCTCCGCGGCTCCAACGACAATGGCCTGCTGCTGCCCCGCACCTGCGCAGAACACCGCCTCATCCTGACGAACACGTTCTTCTGTCTGCCGGAGCGAGAAAAGGCCACCTGGAGGCATCCTCGGTCGCGTCAGTGGCACCTGCTGGACTATGTCCTCGTTCGGAGGCGAGATCAGCGG